TAAACATTCTTGCTTAAGGGCCAGAGTGTGAATTTACAGGAATATACGTTGGAAAGGCACAGTTATATGTGACTAATGAGAAATACAAGCAGTATCATACTGTACATATTTTACAACTGCTTTTTCCACTCAACATTTTGTCACAGACTTTCTCACAGTAGTACAACTACAATAATCACCTTTTGTCAAACAGCTGCCTGGTATCTATGGTAAAGGATTTCTGTTTTTAATATTTTCCTACTGGTAAACATGTTGTTTATGGTTTTCTGTGCTTGCAAACAGTGCCTGTATGTGCTTCTTTATGCACAGTGGATTTGCTGGTTAAATGGAGGGCATATGCATTCAACATGTCAACAGATACTGCCAGGCTATCCTCCAGAAAAGACTGTCAATCTCTCATTTCTACCTCTCATTAGCCCCTGCTAACCTCTATTCTATTCTGTCTCTACAATTTGCCATTCTAGATACCTCACAGAAGCAGAATCAGACTGTATTTTCCTTTTGTGTCTTGCTTATTTTACTTAGCATAATGTTTTCTACTCCTTGGAAGAAGAGGCCAGGCCTTAGCTTTTCCAAACAAAACAAAATCCTCAAAGAATGAAAACTACTAACTGACTGAATGTTTTCCAAGTAAAACGGGTCAAGCCTCATGAGCAACTTCCTCTTAATGAAAGTTTCTGAAGGTTCCCCCAAAGTGGTAAGGAATTACTACCCCATTGCATCATCACGCTGAGGGAACTGTAAAGCAATAAGACTGCCCCAGTGAGAGTAAAAGGAGAATGGCAACTTCATGAGATACGGGGAAAAGAAAGGAGAAGGGACAGAGGAGATGATTTTAGCCAATAATACCAGTGGGTCTTTCCAGAGATGATTCTTCTTTAACAGTTGCTTGGATCTTTTCTAATACTGATCCCAACAAGATTTACAACCTCCAAGAACGAGAAATCCAGTATGGTAAAGACTGATTTTCCATGAGCAATATCCTATCACTGTGAGGCTCCTCAAGAAACCACATGGCTCCTTCGACCCAGAGTGCACTGGAGAGTCAGCACTGCGGGTGTCACCCGGAAAGGCAGCAGTGCAGGGCCCCTCACCTCTACCAATGCGCAGTCCACATCTCAGCATGACCCCAGGGCTTCCTGCACTATACTGACTTAGCCCACCATGTGGCCCAGGATGGAGCGTCCCAGAAAATTCTGTTAGCCGGACTTTCAAAATCTCTGAAAATGTGACTTGACTGTTTCCTTCTGAAGACACAGAACCTATCACAAATAATAATTTCTGCTAGTAAGCTCTCAACCTCTTCCAGTTCTTACGGTGGGGAGAGAGATGGGGGATATAGGTAGGGTTCCAGCCTCTATTCTTTTTTGTGGGGGTGGGGGATCAAACTCAGGATCTTATGCTTGCAAGGCAGGTTTGGCGCCCTATTCTTTGTTTTTTGGGTTGTTTGTTTGAGACAAGGTTTCCCTATGCAGTTCAGGCTGGCCTTGAACTCATTATGTAGAGCAGGCTGGCTCCAACTTGCAATGATCCTCCTGCCTGAAGCTTCTTACGTGCTGGGTGGTGTAGGAGACTGCCACCACACCCAGCTCCAGCCATTATTCTTGAAGGGGCCTAAAGTTTTCATTTTATCACTAAAAATAGTGTAAGGCAGTGATGGTGAACTGTTTAGAGCTTTCAATGTCACAAACAGCCCACTGCAGCACTACTGCCATAGGTTTACCACTACTGTAATAGAACTCTGTGGTCTTTTATTCGTTTTAGCCACAAGAAAAGAGGTTATCAGAATTACGATATATTTATCACAGTAAAAACCAAAGCTTTTCAGGTAAAGCAGCTTACTTACTAATAAAGAATTATACTTCTGCAAAAGAAAACAGAAAACAGAAAACACAAAAACCAAGGCCAAAATAAAACAATCATAAAAATTCTACAGAAGTGCTTCCTTTTTTTTTTTTTTTTTTTTTTTTTTTTTTTTTTTTTTTTGCTTGTTTGTTTTTTGGTATTAGGGATCAAACTCCTACAGGAGTGCTTCTAAGTGAAAAGAGCAGTTAGTTCTGTCAGAAGTTCAGATACTCTGATCTGTGTAATTTCTGTCTATGGAAGAGATTACGGGGGTGTTCACACCTATAATCCCAGCACTCTGGGAGGCTGAGACAGGGGAATCCCAAGTTTGAGCTCACAGTGGGCAATCAGCAATACCCTGTCTAAAAATTTAAAAAGGCAGGGAGTGTAGCTCAATACAAAGGTTGCGGCTTTAATCCCTAGTACTGCAGGAGGAATAAAATTTCAAGATTAGTCTAGTTTGGCCTTAAACTATAGGGCCCAGGCTGGTCTCAAACTCAGAGATCCTCCTGCCTCAGCCTCCCAAATGCTGAGATTACAGGTATGTACCATCATAGCCAGCTTAGCTTTGTATTTATAAAATGTAGTATTACTTCATATGAAGTTGCTGCTGCAGACCTAATAAGGAAGAAAAGTGTCCCCATCATGAACAGCACCATCACTGTCAGTACTGAGTGAACACCTGCTCAGGACACTTACACTGAATTCACTTTTGCTTTGATTCTTAGGTGATTTACTGACTAGATACTAATGTTTAGATGAAAAGTGGTTTCAGGTGTTGGCCTTCTGTATTGAACAGGAGAAAATAATAAAAAATAAGTCCCAGCCCTCAAATTCTACTGGCAATACAGGTCACAAACAAGCATAAATGTTAATAAATGAAATCATTTCAGGTAGTGAGTGATAAGTGATATCCAGACAATAATACTAAGACCTTTGGTGACTTGAGGGAGGAGAAAGCTTCATTAGATGGGATAATCAAGAAAGGCTTGAGCTGGGGAAGGTGGCACATGCCTGTGAGCCCAAGTACTGAAGGGGGGGAAGCAGGAGGACCAAGGGTTCAAGGCCAATCTGGACTGCATACATAGTAAGACCCTGTCTCAACCAAACCAAACCAAACCAAAATTGGCTGTCTTGGGGACTTTGCATAAGATATAGTCAACTACACAAAGACCCAACAGAACCATATTTTAGGCAAAAGCAATAGCAAAAGTCAAAGCATGGAGCTGGGGTGTTTGAGAAAGACATTGTGCTATAGCTCAGTGACAGGGTGGAGACAGATGAGTTTAGAGGAGGCCAGATTATGTTTTGTTTTCTGAGACAGGGTCTTGCAATGCTCAGGCTGGCCTAGAACTCATGGTGATTCTCCTGCCTCAGCCTCCCTAGTGCTGCAATTACATGTGTGTGCCATGATGCCTGGCTGGAAAAGGCCAGATTATCCAGGACATCCAAGGGTCTGAGCACAGGTGGTGGCAGAGAGGACTGGTACTGAGACAGTCAACAGGAGTGGTGCTAAGGCCAGGATCAGTATGCTGATGCAGCTGAGAAAACAGTCAGCTGCCAGTGAATGGAGGGGAGAGGGCAGGAATAGGTATTACTCCTGTTCTGGTACTTGAGCAACCAGACAGATGGTGGTGACATCAAGTGACATGAGGAACAAAAGGGAAGGAACAGAGTGGGAGCGGAGAGCAGGGACAACCAAAGGTTCTGTTCTGAGTGTGCTGGCTACTGGACAGCTCAGTGTTTATAAATTGGGCGCAGTGGCACAGAAAGAACAGAAAGCCCACAAGACAAGGCCACTTGGAGAGGAACTAGGGACAGAGAAGACAGCTAAGGCCTGGGCTCTGGGACACACCAAGAGTGAACAGGCGAAATGAGCAATGGGGGCCCTAAAAAGTACTGAGAAGTGGCAGCCAGTAAGGTAGGAGGATGTTCAGGAGTGTGGGGTCACGGAGAATGAAAGAAGGAAATGTTTCAAGCTGGGTGTGGTGGCGCACACCTGTAATCCCAGCACACATGAGGCTGAGGCAGGAGGATCACTGTGAGTTCAAGGCCAACCTGAACTACATAGTGAGACCCTGTCTCAAAAAAACAAAAAAATAAAAAAGAAGTTTTAAGAAGGAAGGAGTAACTGAGTTAAATACTGCTGAAAGACCCAAGAAGGGGTGGGAATTTAGCTCAGTGGTTCTGGGGCCTGCCTCGCAAGCGCAAGGGCCTGAGTTCGATCCCCAGTACCAAAAAAAAAAAAAAAAAAAAAAAAAATGCCAGGCATGGTGGCACATGCCTGTAATCCCAGCATTGGGGAGGCTAAGGCAGGAGGATCACTGTGAGTTCGAGACCAGCCTGGGGTACACAGTACGTTCCAGAGCAGTCTGAACTACATAGTGAGACCCTGTCTCAAAAAAACAAAACAAAACAAAAAAGACCCAATAAGACAAGGAAAGAAAACAGACAACTGAATTTAGCAAGGTAGAAGTACATTAATAGGGGCCAAGGATTTAGCTCAGTGGTTCTGCTGCCTGCCTCGCAAGCACAAGGACCCAAGTTCAATCCCTGGTACCAAAAAAAAAAAAA